AGTTAGTTGAATCCAACGGTGCAGAGAATTGGTTGTACAGTAGAGAGATGGAGAGCGGCTCGATTAGACAGACACTCTCCAAAGAGTAATGGATTTCAGCAATCTGGGGAAGAAGCCTCCCAAGGAGAAAGAGTAATACCTGAGCACACGTATAGACACTCTTGGGAACAGATGGCACAGAGTCAAATTTTTATTTTAGGCCCAGAAGGTAGTGACAATATTGAGTTGCAGTAATGGAGTAAAAAGATCACTAGACTAGAATTTGAAAGTCATTGGCGTAAGTTCTACCTCTGCCATTTTTTAGCTGCACGAACAGCTCTCTTCAATCTCAGCGTAAATGGTGATCCCATGGCACCTATCCACCAGGCAGGCTGCTGAGAGGTCCAAATAAAACAAAAATCCCAGTCAAAATACTTTTCAAAGTAAAAATGTTATTGGGACAGTTGTTGGTTGTTTGTTGTTCTCACCGCTGCTGTTGTTATGGTTTGAACCACAATGGGTAAGACGCTGCAGCACAGAAAATGTGCACGGTACTAACCACACATGCAAACAGAGGGCCGAGAGGCTTGATGTTATGAATATACTTGAAAGTTGGTTTTGGCAGTCGTCAAGCCATCCATCTTATTTTTTAGAAGCTAAAAAATCCTAGTTCATGTGATCTTAATTATAATCATACTTTTATTTAAAGTGGGAAGCAACGGAAGATTGCGGTAGCATAAATCACAAGTCATCTAATCTCATTTAGGTTATATGAAAACAAGATGGAAACCTTTGAAGTTAGTGTGTTTATTTGCTAATCCACCTCCCTCCCCCTACACACACATCACATTATGTTTCTTAGAACCATTTGGACAGGAAGTATTATTCTTTTTCCAGGATTTTTATTTTTAAAAAATAATAAGTTCAGTGTCTGACTATAAATCAGTATGCAGTTGGTCAGAAGAAAACTATTTTAGCTACCACAGTTACATCAAATTGTGCAGCTTATTGAAATAATCAAGAGATTTTTCTGATCCTTGATGATGGACCAAAAGGAAGGAAAAACTAAGGCAGACAGATGAGAGCTACAATGTTCCCGGACTAGCTAAGGTGGTATGGGAATGTGTACAGAGAAGACGGAGGAATAGTTCATTTAAAACAACTTTCTAACTCTTCAACGCTTGGGATATATATATATTATATATCTATATATCTATTTATTATGCATATATAATTTTTGTAACATTGTAATTTAATTTTATTTCATTATGGTAAGAACACTTAGGAGATATTCTATCCTTTTAAAGATATTTTAAATATTACAACCCAGTTTTGTTAAGATTATTCACCATCTTTCAGGCTCAAATTTGATGTTTAATGATTAGTAACTCCCCATGTTCCCTTTCCTAGGTCTTAGCAGCTGCCATTTTTTCCCTGATTTTGTGATTTTGACTGTTTTAAATATATAAGTGAAATTATGCGATGCTTTATTTTTCTGTGACTGGCTTATTTCACTTAGCATAAGGTCTTCAAGTTTCATCCATGTCACATACTGCAGAAATTCCTTCTTTTTGAAGATTGAGTGGCAAGCTGTCCATTGTATGTCTCTTCCTTACTTACTGTATTCATTCATCTATCGATTGACATTTAGGTCATTTCCACATCGTGGCGTTGTGAATAGCGTTGCAGTGACCGTGAGTGCTAATACGTCTTTGAGACCCTGACTTTAGTTCTTTTAGATAAATATTCAAGGGCAAGATTGGATGATCATATCATAGTTACATTTTTGACATGTTGAGGAATATAAATAGCAAGGGCACCATTTTGCGTTCTCACCATCAGAGGCCCAGTTCCTCATGTCCTCACTAACACCTACCGACAGGTGTAAGATGACGTCCCCTTGAGACTTTGATTTACGTTTTCCTATTCATTAGTGACACCAAATATTTACTCACTGGCTAGCTGTAGGTGCCTTGAAGCTTACTTTATACATTAAATATTGTGGCTTTCTCTGCAATAAACTATGTTTTGGAAAATGCCCATTAGATAGTTTAGCTTCCTAGGAGAGGACAATAACCAAGCTGAGGCCCTACCAGCTCCCTATGCTTGCTTGTGTCCCTACTTATATGAGCAGCAAGACCACTCATTCCCGTATCCAAAGGGTCCGCTTTCTCTCCGGTGAGACTCAGAAATTACATGCTGGTGAGTGCACTAACCAATGAATAAGACTAAACCATTTCTTATATCTTGGTAATTTAGTGTTTCAAATACATTATTTTCAGTGGCCTAGAGTAAGGTGATCACTTGCTCTACACTCTCGTAGTTGATCAATGTAAGAGTAAGCAACACTTATTAGGCACCTGTAGTTGTCAGACAATGCTATGTGCCTCCCATACACTATTTCATTAATCCTCAGAATAGCCCTGTAACATTTTACATGCTATCAATTTTATCTCATTCCAATTAACCAAATGTGTATATGTATAAAATCCATTCTACTTAGCTTTATAATGCTAGAATTTTTCTTATTTTCATTCTATTGATATATTAAGTATATCTTCAGACACTGATTCTAACAGTCAGCAAATTACATCAGAAAATTTAAAAGATTTATATTGAAAGACTGAAATGTTACTATACGTTGCAGGTTCAAGTGAAAGAAAAGTAAGTAAACTATTTGTCCCCAAATAACTCATACACAAAAACTTAGGAAACTCCACTTTGCTCATGCACATTTCTCTGAGATTTTTATAAGCCGGGTACTCACAAAGCATCTGTCATTTTTAAGCAGCTTTTTTATTCAAATAAATGTGCACTGTATTATCAGAAAGTATACTCTCAACATCAGAAATATACAACAAGACACTGCTGATATTTGAACTCAGTCAGGTTTACAGCTTTCTTTATAGCTGTCCAATCACCATTATCCCACAAGTCTCTGGTCCTCTTGGTCCTCCTCTAACCTGTCCTTTTACAGATTCAAAATACTAGCAATTCAGTAAGCATGTACTAGGCTCAGTACTTACTATTTCTAAGGTGCTACTGGTGACTGTATGACTGAATTTGCAAATCTCTAAATGTTCCTCCTGCTTGGGGCTTCTCCTGAACATCAGACAATTCAATGTTTCCTGGAGCCAGAAAGGTGCTGTACAAGGTACAGCTGACTGGGTTTGTTACTAGGACAGTGGTGGCTCTGGGACCACCTGGAGAGCACATGCCCCACCTAAACAAGCAGCTGCTCCTCAGCTGTTGTCACAGAATGTCTTGAGGGGAGACAGGCTCCATGTGGCTCACGACCACTAATGTCTTCAAGTAGAGCTGGAAATTCAGACGTCTGTATAAAATAAGCTGATTTGTAAGTGTTGGCAGCTGTCATTTTTTTCTTTCTTTTATACAATGCAACCAAGTCCACCAGACCAGTATTGTGTAACCACCGCCTTATGGATTCACTTGCACTTCCTTAACCACTCTCCTGTCCTTCCATCCCCAGAATGTCAAAAGCTGTACTTCCTTTCTTCTTAGAAGAGTATAAGCTTTGGGGAAATTGAAGAGTGGCTAGATCCTTCAATAAAAAATTTAAACTTCCAAAGTCTGCCTCTTCCCTTCTATCTCTGGACAGAGTCCTCACGGACAAGAATGTACTCACATTTGAATTTCTCCAAGGAAGAGGAACCTTACTATACTCCTAACACGGAATATGGAGCCTCTTTCTGAGATAGCAGAGTGGGAAAAGTTGACAGAAGGCTAAAGGGCACATCAAGCCTTCGAATTAAAACAGTGTAGGAAATTCAAATGCGACTGAAAGGTCTAAATATTAAGACAGAAACACTAAACCTACTGGAAGACAAAATAGGTAGAAATCTAGAGAACAGAAAGGTAGGCAAAGAGTTCAGGAACAAAACCAAACACCATGGGAAGTACTTCAAACAATCAACTGGGATCTTGTCTTATTTAAAAGTTTGTGCACATCAAAAGAAATCACCAACACAGTGAAAAGAAAACCCACAGATTGGGAAAGGATTTTTACCAACTGTTCCTTAGACAAAGGACTTCTAGCTAAAAAGTATAAAAAAATGAAAAAAATCAGGTCCCCCAAATTTAAAGACACAATCCAAAAATGAGCATCCAGGATGAATACACAATTATCAGATAAAGAAATACAAATGTCAAATAAATATATGAAAAATGCTCAGCATGATTTGTCATCCAAGAAATGCAAATTAAAACAACACTGAAATATCATCTCACTCCAGAAAGAATGGCTAACATCAGGAAATTAACCAGTAACAAATACTGGCAGGGCTGGGTGGATAAACTGTGGAAATCAGTATGGAGATCCCTCAAAAAATTAGGATTAGAGGTTCCATTCGACCCAGTTACTCCCCTTCTGGGTATTTTCCCAGAAAAATTGAAAATGTCATACCACAGCAATATATGTGCACCTATGTTTATAGTAGCACAATCTGTAACAGCTAAATCTTAGAAACAACCCAAATACCCATCAACTGAGGAATAGATAAAAAAGATGTGGTATTTTTATATAATGGAATACTACTCAGCCATAAATAATGATAAACTCAAGGTTTTTATATGTAAATGGATTCAATTAGAAACCATACTCATAAGTGAAATAAATCGGACTTGCATGTGTAAACACCATATTTCCTCACTAGTCTAAAAAACTGAAAAAGTAAATATGATCCAAAAGTTATAATAGATATAGTAAGGGAAATTATACTCTAATCAATCTTTGCGTGCCTGTATCTGGTAACCTGAGCGACTACTTTGAGGACAACATAGGCAATATAACCACCACTGTTAAATATCTATCATCTTGTTTTGAAATCTTATATTCCCATTGTTTGTTGCTATTGTTGTTGTTTTGCTTTTGTTGTTTTTCAATTGTTTGCTTCTTGATTTTTCTATTTTTTCTCTTTAAAATAAAACAAAAACAAAAGCAAAGAAGGATAGCAATCTGTTGCAGCATTGTAGATAAAGACTACAGAAAAACAAAAACTAACCTTAGGAAGCTTGGAAATGGTGATGTTCCACAATCCAGACCTGCAGTAAAAACCAGAGAAAGCTATTGATGGTAAGCCTTGGAAAACATCCCATTTACTTCCTGTCATGTTATCAAACTAGTTAAAATAAACGTGGCTCACCCTTAGAAGACAGGCAACTATTTTAGAAGGATTTTTTATCAAGTACGATTAAACATTTAAGATAAATTCCTTTTGAACTTTTTTCTCCTTATTCCTCAAGTGACATTCTTTAGAAGTCAATTTTTATTTTTCTGGGCCACTTAGAGAAGGAGGAGGATCAGAGAGAGCTATAAAGGTCCTCAGGAGTCAGAGGAGGTCCCCAGCCCTCATAATGGCCCTCAGGGACCAATTTCACGTTCCCTCATGACTGATACTGGGAGCTTAGTTCCATACCTGCCCTGGGGAGACATTGAGGAGATTCTTATTAGCCAGGCAGAGAGAAACAACCTCAGGGAATATGAAGGATAGTTTTTCATTCCTCCTTTTTTTCAGGTCTCTGGAATTTTTCTGTTATTCCTTCCTCCTGAACATTCTGTAAAAAGGAATCTATACAGCTTCACTGATAAAAGAAAGCTGATCACTTAACCCATCTTTTAAAGAGCAGCATATGCCAAGAAAGATTTCAGAGGCACTGCATAATTCTTTTGCTTGAGGCTTTTTGGCTTTTTTCCCTAATTTTCTTTTCTTTCTTTTTCTGTCTTCCCTTGAGAGTCAAATTCCTCATAATCCCCTTAAAAGTCGATCATCTCAAATAGTACGGTAATGACTTTGGGGGTATCAGCCTTGACATTCCATTGGTTTGGGCTTCCTGCTGTATCTTCTACACTATTGTCAGCCCCTAAATCATCCACTGTCAACACATTCATCACACAGAGGTCCCCACGTATAAGCAGCTTTACCTAACGCTAGGCCTCTACAAAGATGTCCAGATATGGGGAGGGAGGATATCTGAATTCCTTGTCGTAATTACCAATGTTCTGGTCAAGCTGGAGAGTAGTGAGCTGAGCTAAGCTGAGCCAGAGCAAGGGACTGGCTCCTTACTAGCAGGGAGCCAGCAATCGGCATTGCACACGGAGGTCAAATCATCCTGGTTCTTGTTCAGACAACAGTTACGGCCACACTTTGGGGTAGATTTGCAGACTGAAATATGGGAAAGGGACATCTGGGGAACAAGAGCATCAGGAATGCCTACAGGATCATGGATCTAGACACCCAACCTTGATCAGATGAAAATAGAAGCATATTATCCAGCTCCAGAAAATGGAGGTAAAAGAAGTTTAAAAAAAAACAGGCTGGTTTTGCTTGGCAGTAAGGATACTGTCTCCCTCACCCAGCTCCTGACATTGAGATCTCCCCACTCACCAAATCAGAAAGCAGCAGCACAACTGCAATCAAAGATGGGGGTTGATCTTCTGGTCTAACAGGCCATTAGGCCAAACTGGAGACAGAGATCACTTCTTTGCAGTGTCAGAGCAGTGACTAGAACACGATTGGAAAGGAGGGGAAGAGAAGGGAAGAAATAGGTTAGTATAAAAAACACTGGCCAACTCCAGTAACCATCTCCAAATTCCCCCGATCTGAAGTGGTGTCATGTGACACTAGCATTAGAAGTGCACTCCACCAGATTGAGAACAGCACTTCACTAGTTAAGACAGCCTGTGAAGCATTCACACATAACCAGTATATTATCACACGTGTCTTCTTGGGCCAAGCTGCACTTGTACTGTGGCCTTACCCAAGCTACCCTTTCTAGCTCCAACTCATACCACATTTGTTAAGACTATTGATTCCAAGTATCAAGCATGGTGACCAGCCAACTTTAAATACCAAGGTGAAATTTATTGTAAAGACCAAGAGATGCTTTGTGGAACTCAGGTCTACTGCATCTCTTGCCAGGCTTAGGAACTGGAGAGCCTAGCTCTGATTTCTGAACATCACTTCATTTTTCTCTCTCTGCACTCAAAAGAGGTCCCCAAGCCTCCTAAACCCAGACACAAATTACAAAGGCAGGGAGAGAATCTTTTTGGCCCAACTTGGAGCCAGTGTCCATTCAGTGTGCAATCAGGCACAGCTAGGAGGCAGTTCATGTGTTAGAACAGGACTCAGAGGAATCAGACTTCAGACCTGTACTTCTCAAAATGCAATGTGCATGCAAGTCACCTGGTCATCTTGATTAAATATAGAATTTTAATAAGTGTTGGGCAAAATCCAAAAGATAGCAAACCTCTAGTTGGTACTATTTAGACTGGTCTGTGAATCCCGTGTAGCAAAGTTGTAGAAAGTGAACTGGGCTATTTCCTAGACCTGGGAAGGCCATTTTAAAAAAATTTCTGTGTCAAATGCAACACGTGCTGTATCATACCTTCATCTGGCCCCTATCACCCCTTGTCACATAGTAGAGGTTTTCCAGATGCGCTTGTCCCAGTGGAAGGGATCTCTGAGTCTGCTAATGACTTTTTCCTCACACTCCTTAACTTCATCAGAACTCCCAATCCCTAAATGTTTTATTCTCATCTAATTGTCATGGAGAAAACTAATCTTATGAACAAATATACACCATTAATGGCAGTTCAATCAGTGAGCATTAATCAAAAAATTGTTTTGAAGTATCTGTGTATTTGTCTTTTTTTAAAGAAAGTATGTTATATCTAATCTAAAGAAAGTATGTTATATCTTAAAAATCAGTATCTAATGAAGAAATTTCAATCAAATAGATAATGGACTGGCATTGTATTGTTTTGAAATACTACAATTAAAAGTGTCCAAGTTTCAATCGGGTTTGGAGAAGCTATGAATTCTGGCTGTTGGTACAACAGTACCTACCAGGGACTGAACAGACTTCAGAACCAAAGAGATCCTAATGAAAGTTATCCAGGTAATCTAATCACATGAAATTAATCCTCTCCACTAAAATTACATTTTGGGGTGTGCATGCGTGTGTGTGTGTGTGTGTGTGTGTGTGTGTGTCTGTGTGTGTCTGTGTGTGTGTGTGATATCAATTGATCATTTTCTCCAGGAAAACTACCCATATTATATAAACCCTTAGCCAGCAGACAAATAAGAACAGGCAATGTTGGAATATCTGAATTATTGTGTTGATGTAGTGTTTAGGAAGTTTCTTAATTACTAAAAATTTTTAAACAAGTGAAAGTTGTTTTTGCCTACACCAATGTCTTCAAGAGTTCTACCTATTCTTCCTTCCAACAGATTTAATGTTTCTGTTTTAATATTTAGATCTTTTCTCCATTACAATTTTATTTTAATGTATGGTGAAAGGTATTGGTCTAGTTTTAATCTTCAGCATGTAGAAAGCCAATTTTTCAGGCACCATTTATTAAAGAGGCTCTTTTGCCAGTGAAGGTGTTTGGATCCTTTGTCAAAGACAAGGTGGCCTAGTATGTCTGGGGTCATTTCTGCATCTTTTAATCTGTTCCATTGATCCTTGAATTTAATTTTTTCTTTTCTTTTATTTTCCTTTCTTTTTTTCGCCATTACCATACTGCTTTTATCACAGTAGTTTTGTACTATAATTTCAAAATAGATAAAGAATATGTGGCTTTTTATACAATAGAGTACTACTCTGTTATAAAGAATGATAAATTTGAGACATGCATTTTGAGACCATACTCTTTAGTGAAATAAATTGGGCACACATGTATAAACATCACTTTGTTTCTCTGGCATGAGAAACTGAAAGTGTAAATAAGAACCAAAATGCATAAAAGGTACTGTGAAATAGAAGAAAATGTTCAAATGGGAAGAGGAACTAAGGAGGGGGAAGAAAGGAAGGGAAAAATGAGGAGAAAAAGAAAAACTGAAAACAAAGCTTTTTCAAATAATGAGAGGAAGCAAGGTTCAAAGGAAGGTAAGGGAATGGGAAAAATAATCAAGATATATCATGCACAGATACAGATTCCCTCTGATGAATGTGATCATCATGTATATCTAAAATATACCAAAAAACTTAGTTGTTTAAACATTTGTTTTAATACAATCTAAGTTGATCAGACCACCACAGTTTTCTAAGTAAGAACTGCTTTTTCCTATCTCCTAGGTGAGCATTTTTATGAAACTATTTCCCAAACATCCTACAGGCATTTTCTAAGCCTTCCCAAGTATGTGATTCTCTGTAGACTATGTTAGATCTCATCGATCCCTAAAAATGAAGATGTATTGATCTTCTACGTAAACACCCAGAATCCACTTCAAAGTGCTACAAGATCTTGTTGCCTCTTGTACCCACTGGCATGAAAATCTTGGAAGACGTTAGTTGCTGCCAGCAAAGCTCAGTGTTTACTCAGGTTTCTGCATTTCCCACATGTGTGTGCTCGCATGCCAAACCAGGAGTATTTTCTCCCATCATTAGTAAACTCTGACAAAATAGACTTCCTCAATTTACTTCAAATGCTAAAGAAACAAGGGTGAAGTCAATCAGCTTGGCCTATAATGCATATTTGGCAATTCTTTCATCCACCTATTAGATCAGCCAAGACGGGGAAAAGAGGAATGCTTTGAATAAGAATACAACAATTACAGGAAGATTTTTCATCAGCCACGGCTGTTGATAAAACAGTCAGCTTGAGTTTGGAGTGACGCATATTGGAGTCCCTGCCTAAGACATCAAAGTTATTCATCACAGGACCTGGAAGTAAATTGGAGTCTCCCAATTTTTTTAAAAGCCAGTGTCATTCAGGCAATAGTGAAATATTCCCCTTTAAATATTTACTCCTAACTTTAAACTTCCAGCTCATATTTGTATTAACCTTTTGGAGAATTTTCATCTTACATGAAAATTAGGCATTTTCAAGTTGAGCAGTTAATACATATCCTTAGTTACAGAAATTGATTGGTTGATACTTGTATTAATTTTCCAGTTAAGAGGGCCAACTAAAGGGTTCCTCTTGTACAGACTCACTCTAGGGTGAGGCCAGGCAAAAATAGACATAGATTAAATTTTCATGTAGAAAGTAATATTTAAACTGGGATTTAATATGCAACACTGAGAGGAGTAAAATTATTGTTTATTGTGGTGGTTATACACAATGGATTCTGGAATCATACATAAACTCAAACTGCTGTTAACAAAACTCCTGTGTGCAGTGTGCTGGTCTCCTCACCACAGTATGGAAACGGTGGCCATGAGGGTGAGCTGAGACTCAGTCGGTGATGTCGGTACACAGAGTCTATGCACAGACGTGGGAACCTCTAAGGCTGTCACTGCCCTTCTCTGTTCCACCCACTCTATTTATTTAATCTTCACCTATCTTTAAAAAATGCAAAAGTTACATGAGAGGGAGGAGGAAGGAACTTTGGAGAACTTTCTAGAAACATCTGTAACGGGATGAAATTAACATTCCTCCCTTTCCCCTCCCTCCCTTTTACTCACCTCCCTTTAACTCCCAGGCTAACAGTAGTTAAGCACTGGACTAAACTCTTTGCTTATGTTTGCATTCCCCTCTCCAAGACTACTCTGTAACTATTCTCTAAAGCAAAGAGTGTCATGTTACTGTATTTTCAAATTCAGAGGAAAATTCAACTGGGAAAAACAAAGCCCTCTAAATCGTTTTGATTTTCCCATTCAGCCATAACTGTCCTGTAGTGCCATTTGAGCTTAACTGAACAGAGATGTTGGGAGCCACAAAGGCCCTCCAAGACAGCCTCGTGAATGTGAGAAAGACGGGAGGCTAGAGGTCTTTGGACCGTCCCAGCAACCTTGCTTCTCCAAGGACCTGCTGTTCTGCACCAGTTTTCTACCATTTTTTCTACACAAGTAGAAAATTAAAATGGGTGTGGGGGAAGGGAACTGAGAAAAAGCAGTCAGTCCAAAATGACCTTTCTCATTTTAAAAGGGAAAATTTTCTTTGGAAACAGACTCCACTTTGGCAAAGTTGCTGCATCAGAATCTTACACTATGAAAAACTTCAGTTGGTCTCACCACGTGTCTTGCAAAACTAGATAAGGTACAAACATTCATAGTCGGGATTACTCAAAATCTTTTCTATTCTTTGAGAGAACCTCAAATATAGGAAAAGTAGAGTGGATTGTCTTTCAGCTGGCTCCTGCTGGGTTTAATTCCAAAAATTTCAGACAAGTGGAACCTTCTTTAATCACTGGAAAGTCTGCAGCGTAGAGGAACACAGGCTTTGATAGTCTCATCCAGGGTGGCTGCATACAGGGCCACCAAGCCCTTGAGAACTCTTTTTCCGTCTCCAGATCCCTGATAGCAAGATGTTTGTGCAACTCGTTGCTCAGACACCTGGCAATGCTCTTCACTTCCCTCCCAGTGCTAATAAAACTCCTGGGATCAAATTACCGTGCAGTTACTTCTCTAGTAGACATTTCAGCCCTGCGTTTTATAGAAAGTATCCATTCTGCACCAGAGACCCTGCAATCAAAGCTGTGTTCAGTGTCTGCTCACATTTACTGGAGCTTTTATTGAATATGTAGAAAACATACACCTTAACTCTTTGGAATATATA